TAAGCCAGTAATAAGACTGGTAAAGAGGGAAGGTTGGGCATGAGACCAGCAACCCCATCCCAGAAAAATAAATATCACTGTTATCAAACCTTCAAGCCTCTAGCTTGAAGCTCTATGTTCCACTGGGAATGTATTATTATTATTATTGCTCCCTTGGGTTCCTAGTGGAACATAGGGCTTCAACTGCACGTCTCCATTTGCTTCTGCTGTACTTTTCACCTGCATCCATGTCAGTCCATACTCTTTCAACCCCTCTTCACACGATCTCCTCCATGTCACCCTTGCACTGACATCCCACTCGCCGCGTGCCTCGCTTTCGGGTTCCACTCGAGCGCTTGACGCGCGATGTCACCCAGCGGCCTCCTCAGCGAGTGTCCGATCCATCTCCACTTTCTCCTACATATTTGTTGGTTGGCAGTTGGTTCTTGTTTTGTTTGTTCCCTTAGTTCCTTGTTGGTGATTCTTTCCGGCCATCTTATGAAGCCAGCGAAGACAGTTGTTAATAAAGGTCTGCAACCTTTTGGAAATATTCTTTGTGACCCGCCCGCCAAGTTTCTCATCCGTATAGAATGGGAATGTAAAGAAATAGAATAATGTTGCGTGTGTCAGTACACTTAACATACAACTTATCAAAACTAACAGTATGTTTTGTTATCTTCAATGATTCATTCACTTGACTTAGGAGAAAATAAGTGATTCACTGAATAGACACTTTTCAATGAAATTGTTATCAGCCTATACATTCGTACATTTATAATTCTTTTTTAAGAATAGTGTGGCAATATATCATCACAGTCAGACAGCAAGTGATAAGACATCATGTGTCGAACAATTAATGAGACCTGTATGCAAACAGAAGATAACGTAACTGGATGAAAGGTATGATAAGACAAGTATATTGAATTCAATTATTAAGGAATGGCAAGTGAGATTATAATGGAAACTGTTCAGAGTGAAGATAATAATCTGTCTGTCTGGATTCAACATAGAACTTGGCACCGAAGTGCAGCAGTTCGAGTTGCCACGTTCCAAATAGCACACAGAGGTAGACAAGAAGATGAGTGAAGAGAATTAATAGAGTTTGACAAGTATAAGAGTGAAACAGAATGGGTAATGGTAGAAAGGAATATGAAAGATTACAGAGACTGAATACATCTGCCTGGCCATTGACAACGATTTTGAGCCATGTCACCTATTGTCTCCAGCCATTGATTCCTAGAGTCCCGAGGGCCCCAACCCCGGGAGTCTGCATCTCCCTACCTGACTCAGTTTAACTGTCAAGGATTTCATGGATTGATGAGGCCATGTTTTTGTTTGGCCACCACTGGCTCTTTTCCAACCTGAACCTATATCAGCTAGCAATGCCCGTCGGGGGAGGCGGTGGTTAGGCATGCGCAGCACGTGACCTAGCCATCTTAGTCTATGTAACTTTATAGCCTCGTCGATTGATTTTCCCTCTTTGCCCAACACTCTACGCCTAACGTCAACATTACTTACCTTATTAAACCACCTAACGTGAGACAGAGATCGCAGACATCTATGATCGAAAGCAGTCAACCTTTTCATGTCTTCAACGCGTATTGGCCATGTTTCAGAGCCATAGAGAAGGACGGAGCGAACTGATGAGCAGTACACACGTCCCTTGGTTGATAACCGGATGTCACGCCTACGCCAGAGATGGTGTAAGTCAGCGAAAGCAGCTCGAGCTTTTCGGATCCGTGCTGAGATTTCATCGCCAATCAGTCCGTTGGTGCTAATACAACTTCCCAAATAGGTGAAGTGGTCAACATGTTCTATCACTTCACTCCCTATCACTAAGTTAGGGTTGACGTGGTCCAGTCCTGTAGCAGCATCTTACATTTTGTAGGGGCGAATCGCATGCCAAACATACGAAGATTGCTGCTCAAGGTGTTCAGAAGACTCTGCATTTTGTCAGCATCCTCCCCTAACAGGACTATGTCATCTGCATATTCTAAGTCCATAAGATTATTCCCTGGTAACAAGTCGATTCCTAAGTCATTACGTTCAGTTAAGGATACTTCCATCAGCATATCTATGATGAAGTTAAACAGAAATGGGGAAAGTGGACATCCCTGTCGGACACCACTGGTTGTTACCAATTCAGATGACAATTCCCCATAAGCCCTTACACGACTACGTGAGTTTGAATAGAGTGCCTTGATTAGTGCAATGTACTTTCTTGGCACTCCCTTCACAGTCAGACATTGCCATAGTACCTTTCGATCCACGGAGTCGAAGGCCGCCTTCAAGTCAAGAAATATGACAATTGTTGGACGCCGAAAAGTGTGTCTATGTTCTAGAATCTGTCGAAGAGTGAAGATATGATCTATGCACCCTCTACCTGGTCTAAAGCCTGCTTGATTTTCCCTTGTCTGTTCCTCCCGAGTTCTGCTTAGTCTATGCATGATTACTGAGCCTAGGATTTTAGAGACTATGTTCGTTAGGCTGATCCCCCTATGATTATCACACGAGGACTTGTTTCCCTTCTTGAATATCGGTATAATAAGTGACTTACCCCAGTCTGATGGCACTGTCTCTGATTCCCAGACTTTGCCTAGTACCTCAGTTAATCTACAAACTAGTATGTCACCCCCATATTTAAACACCTCCGGAATAATTCCGTCGGGTCCTGCCGCTTTGCCTCGTTTCAAATTACTGATAGCTTTTGTAACCTCACTACAGACGGCGGACCAGTGTCTATATCCCATTCGGGTGTGTGGTGGATGGCGGGGAGGTTCAGTGTGGCTGTAGGCAAGTTAAATTGTTCCTCAAAGTGTTCTTTCCAGCGTTCAAGGCGTCTATCCTGAGAGCTAATTAAGGAGCCATTTTTCTCAGAAATAGTCTCACTTATGAATTGCCTTCTCCCACCCGATTCTGTGATGAGTCTAAAGAGTTGCCTAGTGTTGCCTATCGCCGATGCTTTTTCCATCTCTTTTGCCTTTGTCACCCACCACTGTTCACGGTCCTTGCGGAGACTTTTAGTAAGTTTCCTTTTGTGCAGCTTTCGCTCCTCATTGAATTCGGAGCTCGCCGGAATAAGTCTTCTAGCATCTATCAGTTCGGATGAGGCAGTCGAAATCCAGTGGTTTTTACTCACCTTTGGATTTGCCTTATTCACAGCTTTTACAGCTGTATCTATAGCTGACTGAATATTCTTCCAGGCTTCTCCAGGGTGAGCACAGCTGTCGAATTCAGATATGCGTTTAGCTAGTTCTTCCTCAAATAGGGATTTAGTTTCCTGATCGAGCTGGGGACGTGATGGTTTTACCGCCAGCTGTTTCCTACGTCCGTTCAGTCGTAAGCACACACGAGCCCGGACCAGTGCGTGATCGGTATCTACACACGTGTTCCAGAAGGAGCGACAATCTCCTACCGACCCACGCCAACGATAGCTTATTGCTATGTGGTCTATTTGTGTCCAGCGTTGGTTTGATGATGGGGGTCGCCAGGTTAAACAGTGTCTCTCCTTGTGTTTAAAGTTAGTGCTTACAAGAAACAAATGATTATCTGAACAGAACTGTAGGAGACGGTCACCGTTGTCGGTTCGCTGGCACGGAACTCCATAGGTGCCACCGACATCCTTCTCAGATTGACACAATTTCCCTACTTGAGCGTTAAAGTCACCAGCTAGAACGACTATATCTGAGCGTTTAGCCTTTCTCACCAAACTAGACAGCTTTTGGTAGAACTCATCCTTCGTTTCATCCGAACTGCAGTCAGTGGGGGCGTAGGCGGAGATTACGAAAAGGCATCGGCGAGTAGTGCAGTCCTTTCTCCTTCTTACTGATCCGTTCAGACGGACAGCACACATTCGGCTATCTACTGGGATCCAGTCAAGTAATGTCTTTTCTGCCCTAGTACTCAAAGCTATCCCTACGCCAGCTAATCCTCGTGAACTAGCTGTGGCATCTCCTGACACCCTCAAGGTGAATTTTGAAGATTCATCCTGTTGGCCAGGTGGGGTTAGGTGAATAACCACACTTGGGTCTTGTATGCGTGTTTCTGAAACACAACATACATCAATGGCTCGGGATGCCAGGGTCTTAGCTAGTGATGCTTGTTGTCCTATTTGGCAAAGTGTCCTAACATTAAATGCTCCTATATGAAATTGGTGGCGTGGCTTTAGGAGACTATCCGTGGTGGTTTTTTGGCTTTCGTCGTTTTTAGTGGACACAGAGTGAAGAGGGAGTGAGGAGCCATCAAGTAGAGGAGTTGCATCAGTGGGAGGAAGGCAAGGTAATAGAGATGAAGATGAAGACAAAGATAAGTGAGGATTAGAGAGGTTTTGTGTGCATTTCGGATTGTGAGGGCGATTGTTACTTCCCGGCTGCCCACACCGTGGAAGTTGGTTGCGTGACCGCAGAGCCCAGGGGACAACTGCTTGAGGCCGGTCACACGCGGCCTGTTTTTGTTCGTTTTTTTTGTTTGGTGTGCCTCAGTAGCATACTTATCACTCCTGCCCTGTGACACGGCAGCAGGAAGCGCGGTCGTTGTTGATAATAATCACTATAGTAATAGTAAGGAATGGATATATATATATATATATATATATATATATATATATATATATATATATATATATATATATATATATAAAGTGAAGAACGAATAAAACCAAGGTAAAAATAGGAATTGAATGTGAATAGAATTCTTAAACCATACAAATATCGTTTATTTTCCATACATGAATTTATACGCGCTACCGTAAAACATGAGCATGTAGAAGTTACTTTATCTATTGTGGCTTGATTCTACTTGATAGGTGCAAGTTGCTATTTAATTCCAAATTAGGACAAAACAGTTGTTCATTCACTCATCCCCTCACCTGAAGGTTGTCATAGCTCTGTCAGTAACCTTACTCATTTTATTTTTAATCTAGAGACTTATCTGTTTCATTCACTTTAAAATACACACAAAAATTATGCCACGAATTTGATGCATTCATTATTTGAATCAACTTTACTTATATTTGTTCCTAGGTACGTGAAGAACGCATTAAACTACTTATTGGTCGATGTCAAGAGCTTTTGATTCAACCTAATGAAAAATGCTTTTCTGAATGTCTGCTTGTCTCATACTCTGAGTAAGTTAATGTTTATATGTGTATATTATTCCCTTGGATTCTAAGTTGAGCATAAGGCCTCAACACCACATCTCCATTTTTTCCTGTTCTCTACAGTTCCGTTTAGCCTGGCCCCACTATTGCCTACAAGCCTTCATCTCCTCTTCATACGACCTACTCCGATTCAGTCCCCACTCGTCCTTTCCCATTCAGGCTCCTCTCGATAACCAACATAGCCTGGGTTGTAACCAGACGGTCTCTTCAGTGTGTGTCCGAACCACCTCCATTTTCTTCCACATATTTACTGAGCAATAGCTTCTCGGTTAGTTTGTTCCGCTGCAGAGCTTCTTGTTGCTAATTCATTTTGGCCGCCCATCTGATCTTCAATATGAAGGCAACAAAGGCGGCAGCTGATAAAAGTCAGCAGTGGCCTCTTTGAAATCCTTTCGTGATAACATGCAGTGCAAGTTTCTGACCTATATAGAACAAATAAACTGACTTAACATTTGTTTTGAAAATGTGAATTTTGTTCTATGAGCTGAGTGAAAGAGATTTTTGTGCTGACGATTTCAGATTGATGAAGGTGTACTTTGGCTTTCCGATTCTGGTTTTCATATCCTTATTTGTGCTGTCGTCTGTGGTTGAAATAATTCTGCCTAGACAAGTTAAGGAAGTAACCTCTTTCAAATTTCTCCGGCTGATAGTTATTGGTGCTGATTGTTAATGTCCGTTGGTTGTCTTCACCACCTCCGTCTTCCCAATGTTCACCTAGAGTACTGTCTTCACTACCGCCTACCTCTTCTACCAACTTGGCAGTTTTCGCCTGTAAGTCTGAGAATATAAATACTGTATAAAACTGAACACTATTATACGCGTAGGTTGAAGCTTTGAGGATCAAACAGGATTATATATATAATGCTATTCATATATATTCAAACAGGTGAATATTTCTCACCTTTGCTAAGCTGCGGATTTGGTACTCACATATTACATGGAAATGAGTATTAGAAAAATGTTAGCCTATATTTATCGTTGTATAATGAGATATTTACATTACCATATTATATTATACATTCCTTGCTTCTGAGTAGGCTTCAGTGATACATCTTCATTACACTCGTTTGCGAGCTGTCATTTTTCAGCTGGCACCATAACGATGACTTAGTAACAGAACAATATGTAGACACAATGATGTGGTATGAGGAAGTTTCGAATATAGATATCCAGAATTCACTTGTTACCATTAAAGCCCTGATTCGGATTAACTTTGTGTTGCTATCACCGATTGATATATTCGAATATATATAAATCTGTCGTTAGTCATTAGATGGATAAATGTATATGTAATCGATCGGTGAGTAAAGTTAGTGATTAGGTGTGAAACAACGAATCGAAACTGTATAATAATTATGATACCATTCTTTCACAGAATTATAATTTTTTCCTGGCTACACTGGATTTTTCCTATTATTATTTTTTTTTCATTTTTATGTACATTTTTATTCGTTTAATCTTACTCATGTTTACATAAAACACTAGGGACTTTTTATTCTATGAAAATCCATATTTACACATATAGTAAAGAATAAATCTAGCGAAAAGATATTTAATTCTTCTCTTTCTGTAAATGGATTTTCACTAGTGCATTCTTCTTTACTACTGTAGTAGTCACAAGTTGTGAACAATAAATCTTCAGTTTTTCTGTTTTATTCCTTTACTTCCCCAGTGGAACATATGGCTTCAAGCTGTAGGCTTGAAGTTTCGGTAACTGTGGTGTTTATTTTTACGGGATGCGGTTGTGAGCCTCATACTCAACCTTCCCTCTTTACCAGTATTATTACTGACTTAGCAAGGTAATGGAGTGTACCGTCAATATTGACGTTTAAAAAGTGGTGATAACTAAATAAGAAAATTAGGGAAAATGGGTTAGTTGTTAAGATTTTATAATGTCAGAAAATAGACTTCTTTTTTACTTACCCTACGTGATTATCTAATAACTATGAATGTAACCTGTAAACACTTCTGCGTCTATAACTTCTTTATAAGAATAGCTTGTACTTAATTGCATCTTTAACACCTATAAACTATTAACTCGAAAGAACAAGGAAAATAAAATCCTGGTAATTGCTTTTTTATTCTCCTCCTGACTTCATCTTAGATTTTATGGCTCATGCGTTCGCAACGTACAACACACGGCATACACTCAACAAAAGCCATTTAGGTTAAAAAATGAGTGACATCCTTTACAGTTAATTGAATATAACACTTATAGTGAGATACAATGTTGGTTGGCAGGGCTTTGATTGGTTGCAGATTCGATCACGAGTTGATATCAATTAGACGACCTTTGCGGGACCTGAGAGTACTGAACAGCTGTTTCTTCCTCATCTGGGACTCTTCAGTGGTATAATAACCCCGGTAGGTGCGTACTGACGAAGAGTCCACAACTAGGACGAAACAAGTTTCCAGGACTTCCAGGTTTTCCAATGGTTCTTTAACCAGTGTCAGCTCATGATGAAACCCTCCAACCAATCAAACACAATCCCTAAAAACCAATACCTGAATGTTAGTAAAACTTATATATATATATAATTTCTTTTCTTCACGTTCCCAGTGGAGCATAGGGCTTCGAGCTAGTGGCCTGAAGTTTCTGTAGCAGTGGTGTTTATTTTTACAGGATGGGGTCGCCAGCCTCATGCCCGACCTTTCCTCTTAACCAGCATTATTTCTGGCTTAGCGAGGTAAAGGAGTGTGTCGGCGGCCGGGGATCGAACCCGGACCATATACATGGTCGGCGAGCGTCCTAACTGCTGTGCCACCGACGCTCTCTCTCTCTCTCTCTCTCTCTCTATATATATATATATATATATATATATATATATATATATACAAACTTAGAGTTTGATATAACATGGCATACGAAATGCTTAGTTTTCGGTTGTAATGAAATGGAATTGGTTATCACGTTCTTCGGTACTCATTGAGTAGAAGTATTTGTAACGAAAGAAATAGCTGTTTCAGAAAGTGTAGTCCGCATCAGTTAAATCTGAAACTGTACCTACTGATATTAAACTAACACAGCCACCATGAGAATATTTATTCACAGAATAATAAGATACATATCTTATAGTCGTCGGATGGAGTCAGTTCTAAACACATAAATCCCTGATTAAAAATCAACCACTTGTGAACTAAGGAGTCACAACTCGACTTAAACTCAAAGCAATTCACTTCATATGTTCACTTGAAGATAACTACTAAGAAAAATAGAGTGTATGTATGCATGTCAAACCAAGAACCTGTTGCTGAATAAATATCCCGAAGAAAATGGGGATGGATAGGATATACTGTGAGGATACTGTCAGATGATATCGCGTGCCAGATGTAGATGTTCCCTCAAGTGGAGCACAAACAGCAAACGACTAGTGGGGGGGCGTTGTTCCGAGGGTGACATGGAGGAGGTCATGCGAAGAAGAGATGAAAGCATCTGGGTAGACGGGGATCCAGGTGAAAACGTTGTCGGAGAACCGAACGCAGGGGAGACGTGCGGCTGAAGCCCTATGTTCCTCTAGGAACTAAACGAGACCTTTAATTATTCAGTATAGTGCCTGATTTATCTTTTGTGTATATTTAAATGCGAGATTACAATACAATTAGGAACAAAGGTTGTGTGAAATTATGATGATAGTCAATAATGTTCCACTCTTCAGTACTAACAAAGACAAAAAAAGGGAGAAACAAAACAACAGCAACAATAGTTATGCATCAATGCGATAAAATAAATATGAAACTTATCTATGGAAGATGAATGAATGCCTTAAAATCACTCGACACTGTTCTCTTCTTTTTTGTTTTATTTGTTTACTTTTCTAACTAACTTTTGGACAGAAGGATTATTTTTATTATTTACATTAGATATTAATAAGATTCAAGATGATGAAGGATTTTCTATCATTGTATATTCACTGAGAAATGCATAAGGGAAAAATGCCTACAAAGCATGATAACATGCATATACGATTGACATCTGTTTATATATATATATATATATATATATATATATATATATATATATATATATATATCTTGAAGAATGAATTTCGTACAAATAATCAGCTTAGTGTATGCATTAAATAAGAAATAAAATATTTATTTATTTCCTTGGTCAGTTAGTTTAGTTGTTTATTTAAATGATAGAATATCATCTTGACAGAATCGCTTGTAACATGAACTTGTGTTTTTGACAGTGAATGTCATTATTATTATCATTATTATTAATGTTGTCTGCGTCATCACGATTGTCATCAGTGATGTGAAATGTCGTTACCATGATTTTATCGCGAATCACATACATACACACACCCACGCACACACACAGAAAACATAATTAATTCTGAAACATCAGATAACTTAATATCCCTAACTGCATCAATCATGTATCAAATTTTTTTGACTATCATTATTGTCGCTACCATTTTGACTATTTCATATATAATTTGGTTCTCTTGATAAATTTCAATGGCTCCAGAGCCTTATCGTAGAGATACATAAATGCAACTTGAATACTTATACCATCAACTTTCTGAGCTGAAACCTGTGGACGAAGACAAAAGAGGATAGCTGAAGTCCAAACTGGTTGATATAGCCAACCAATACCACACACCACCATAGGAATAAACAGAAGATGTCTACTAAGGAACATACAGCGGCACTAAAGAGATTGTATGAAAATGATGACACTGTCATGTTTAGACCCGATAAAGGCTCTGGAGTTGTTATAATGAATACATCTCATTATGTATATAAAATTATGACAATTCTTAACGATCCCGAAAAATTTCAGGTTGACAAAACTAAGAAGGATGCAACAATGTCATTTGAAAATAAAATAAATAAAGGCCTTAAAGAACTCCTCATCAAGAAACTAATTGACGCAAATATTTGTAATAGCTGAATAAATGTGATTAGTTGTCAATGTCATATTCACGTTGATGTTGTCAACTGGTCATTGTAAAGTTTTTTCACGGTGTGTATGTGTGTGGGTGTATGTCAGTTATTCATGTGTGCTGTATATTGCATGGTGAACATGTTAACCTCATCTGAGTGATAATTATCATCACTGAGCAGAGAGAGGCTGAAGAATCCACATAGTTTATTTTCAAAAGTGAACTATAAAAGTCAGATAAACGGAGTTGCAATAGTTTACTAGTTTCTTCACTTGTACACGATCTTTATATGTGAACTATAGAAGGGAAAGTATTAAACGGTTTTATTTGTCAAACCTGTAGTATGATTCATATATGTGAATGTGTTATGTTGCTGCTGCTGAGTGGTTAATAGTAGTTTTCCCCGTCGCCAAATTGTTACGTACTCGTCGCTATATTATTGTTATGGTCTGGTCGAGAAACTAATAGTCCTGACGCAAAAAGGCGGAAATCAGAAGACCACTAGGTTTGCGATGATACTTCTATTTTCCAAACACAAGGAGAAGCAATAAGTGGTATCACACCAAAGTAAGTAAGTAGGTAAGTAAGTCACACAAATTGTGAGAGCGAAATATATATGAATGTTCCAGACAAGGGTGTGAACAAATCATTAGACAGTCTTAACATGAATGGCTAATTATAATGAAGTATCGATCCATATATACATAGCGAAATATAGCAGACATGTCAACAACCACCATGTATGGATATATGTCACCAAGCAACGGACTGTCAACAAACACTCATATTATATATAATATAATATAAGGAGAATACACATTATTAAAGGAGACAGGTTCATCAAAGTGAAATGGTCACAGATTAAGCGAGCAAACAGAAAGAGAGATCACCATATATATATATATATATATATATATATATATATATATATATGTGGATACATATCAGAATGATACATTTTTTAAAGCTTTCTAAACGCTATTTCAAGTTTTATAAAATCTACAAATGAAATCGAATTTTGATGGAGGGACCGTGAGCATTGTTGATTGCCTTATCGATATTCTGAATTTAGCGATGAACAGGAAACCATCTTCGGGTGGACATAGAGAAGACGGAGGTGATGACGATAACCAACCAACAACAGCAACAGGCAACAATCACTATCAACGGGATAAATTTGAAAGAGGTTACCGCGTAGGCAGAATCATTTCAACTATAGGCGGAACGGATGACGATGTTAAAGGCGGAATCAGAAAGGCAAGGTACCCCTGCATCAATCTGAAATCATCAGCGTGGAAATCTGCTGAACTCAGCATTAAAAGAACAAAAATACATGGTTTTCAACAGCAATTTTTAGTCAATCATTTCTTTTATATGGGTTAGAAACTTGGCCAGCGCATCTAGAAAGCATTTCGGACAGGCCACTGTAGCCATTTATCAACAGCGACCTTTGCTCCGTATTAAAAAAATCATTTCTGTTGTACGCATTGGATGTGAATTCAATGAACAAAGATTCAGTGATCAACCTCTCTCTCTTCACCTATCTACACTAGTTTTTAATACTGTCACATCGTATTGTGTGGTTGTATGCGAATGCATACATGACAATGGCTGTTTTCTTTTCCAGATTACTTACTTAACCTAATGTGGTCTTGCTCTGTAGTTCTAGCTACATTCTAGCTATATGTATCGATTAACCATCTGTCTCTGATCTATTAGCTTTACTTAGATATTTGACTTCACAGTCATTAAATGGTATTTGCTTAACTAAAGTATGTTGTCTAATCGGATGGTTTCAATCGCAAATCAGATAGACTTAACCTCTGAGTGAGTTCATAGCTTCATATACCATCCTGATTTCAGCCTAATTAAGATTTCAGCGTAAGCTTTCATATGTCACTTTCAGAGGCTTTAAATTTCTTATTACTCATTTTACGATCATTATTTAAAATAGACTGATGTTGCAAGACATGTTGCCAGGCCATTTCAGTACACAGGGATGATTTTATTCAAATTCTTCTCCTTCTTCAACGTTTCGAGTGGACCATAGGGTTTCACGTTTCAGTAGCTGTCTAAATACTAGTTCACTCACAATCCTATGTCTACTCAATGGCTTAGAATTATGTCTCATACCGTCAGCAGACAACAACAACTACTACTGCTTGTATCTTCTACAAATATTACTGAAAGCTGTACTTCACACTGGTTTTCGGCTATGAGGCATATTGTAGGCATTGCAGATTTAATGACCTTTGGATTTAGACAAGGTCATTCATTGGTCGACCTTCAACTATTATGATAGTAACATTAGTAAATTCATTTCCTATTTCTTTTCCTATATACTGTTTTACTTTTTGTTCTTTTGGCTGTAATGAGAGTTCAAGTAAGTAAGCATGCTTAGCCCTAAATGAATTAATTCAATCTAGGTACTAGTCTGTTTCAGCTAGTTATGTCTTGCGGATTTTTCAAACATCAGTGGGCGTCTGACTATTAAAGCAAAATCAATTCCAAGGCCTCAGTTTTGGATGACTACAACTTTTAAATTATGAATGTGAATATTTGTAAACTTACCTCTTAAATTATTGGTATTATTTTTTGAAGCAATTATGAATTGCCTTTATGAAGCCTCTAGACATAGTGATAATAAGACGTAATTTGTCTGAATCGTGTAATGTGTTTTTGCGCCAGACATTTCGAATAGTATGATGACACACGGATTTGTCGTTGGAATATATAATCCATGTGAAAGTAATAATGAATTAAGGGTTGAAAAATAGACATAGGTGAAGTTGAAAGGACAAATTGAAGGTCGAAATAACAGTGAAAATGACGAAACCAATACATGATGAACTGTTTTTAAAGGCATAAAGGTGGTTTGAACTTCCTAAATTCTGCGGCTTCCTCAAACTTTAGGATATGCCCGAAACACGTTTCATAGACAGGATTAACAGAGGTGTAAACATCAATTTTATGTCCTGTCATTATATTTATCTTTAGTAATAGAGGAGCTAGGTCGCCTGTTCTCACCACTAATGCGTTCAGGGGATTTGATTGGCTTGTGAAGCCATTTAGGAATATGCTCTGAAGACAGCCCTTACTTGCAGAGATCGATGAGTCGTCGCTATTTATGTGTGGCCACATGTACATTTAAACTGTTTAATACAGTGAGATGTGACACAATTTTTCGTATGTTCTCAGGGCTGAGGTGCATATATAGGCTTCACATTCTCAATTATTCTAATCTCGCCCGTATAAAAAGTCTTTCGAATTACAGCGTTCAATCTTTGTCGAGTTACCAAGCTGGTATGATCAGCCATATAGGGTAGCTTGATATATGCTCCTTTCTTAATGGCGAGGTGGGAAGTGAATCTTGGTGTTCTGACTACTTTATGTCTCCGTATTAACCTCACTGGATAATCGCTCTCACCAACCAGAGTTTGTATCAGTTTCCCTTCTTCATCATCAAGTGTGTATTTAGGGCATTTTGGTTGGATTCTATTGAAGGGTCACTTAATTAAGGCTCTTTTGTATCAAACAGGGCAAATATTGTGATAATTAATATACTGTCCTGTCTTGTCCTATCCAGTCAGGTTTTGTATAGATAGGTGGTGTAATTGATCCATCTGGCCATCTGTCTACTAAGCAATATATCTAGGATCGAAAAACAGCCCTGCTTTGAAGTTAATTTATAACTATACGCTTGGCTGTAAGTTCTTGTACTGTGTTTCTCAGACATGCATATATTCTTCCTATTGTGTTAAGGAATGAATAAGATATGTTTAATTCGACATGTGCGTCTTGATTTCCACTACTGCCTGTCATCACACAAAATGTCAGTAGCTTTTTCATAGAAGTACATTAGTGAATAAAGAGTTCATATGAAAAGAATACATATTTATACTTATAATACTTCTACGAATTATTTTCTGTTTCACAGGTTTATTCGTGACATGCACTATGTGAATACAGTTGCACTGGTAACTGACAAGTGTTTACACTTTATCAAGTAAGTTTCCTCTATGATGATTTGTGAAGATATTTTCAGTTGGCATTCATTTGTAGTATGTGTGAATTTCAATTTAGTCATTGTTCAATAGTCAGTGATTCTATTCACTTGATTAATTTTGTGAATTGCTAATTGATGAGTCGTCTATCTTATGACAGGCAGCTATCTACGCGATTACTACAGTTTTGTGAATGAATCAGCATCTGGATATTACACAGTCACAAATAGTCACAACTGGGGATGTACCAGAGTAGACTAAACATACAGTATACATTCATTGTCCACATAACACTAGATATTTACACACTGGAATAATCGTATTTAATTTAGGACACGAACACAGATTGTTTACAGACGACATTTCAGTCACAATTTATTCCTCATAGATCATATCAAGGTGCTAATGTAACTTTCTAACTTTGTTTATACAATCCTACTAGTTGTCATAGAATTCTGTTATTACATATGTACTAACATTGTACTTCAGGAATGGAATGATCGAATTAGGAGTAGGGAAACGATTTACATTGTATTGTGTATTCATTCTCCTAAACTGGTGATTGAATAGATTTTTTCAAAGGTGTTCGCAAAAGTCTCCATCATGAAATAGGTGATGACTGAAGTGTTCCAGTTGATTTCGATCTCACGATTAATTCCTGTGTTAGATATACATGTTTCCAAGTGTTGGTTTCCAGGGTTTTGATTGGTGACAGATTTTCTCACCGTTTGGAGAGATCATTGGAAAAGAAAGAGTACTGGACAGCTGTTTCATCTTGGTTTGGGACAATTTAACAATACACACCCACTGGGGTTCGAACTCAGGACGTTTCAGTTGCAAGAGGAGCTCGTAGACCATTCAGCCACAGGGATTTTACCCAATGACCCATAAATTCCAATCTCTGCGAATTCACGATATATAAGAGCGACCACCGGGCACCACTTAACCTGATGGTGAACCACGTTGGTCGAGGATTCTCACTAGGTCTCCAGTTAACTTCCTGCATAGAGCCAGTTGTTAGTGGGTATCAGATTAATTTTCAAGTTTTGGTTTGCAGCGTTTCGATTGGTTACAGGTTTGGTCATCAATCATATATAAACTACAATGTGTATTTACGAATTCACTTTTTCCGGTAGAGCTATGTACATAGACCTTGACAGCAGGAAATTGTCTAGGTGCACCCATGCACGTTTATCAGCATGGTTGTCAGAAGATGAATGTAAAACAGTCAGCAACTCAATCCTGGAGTGTTTCATTACTTGAGACCACTTTGCATCAGTAGGGACTTCCTTCAGAGTGATATATGAAGTACGACCAATTCGTTCGAGATGATTTCGCTAAGCAATCTATAAGTGGAAACCTGAATTTTCAGTTCAGAAACGCTTTATCCAACCTCTTCTACTATCATCGCCTTAGTGTTATTTCTCCATTATTACGACTCTTGAGCAGACTAGTATACGAGTCAATAACAGATTCTCATATTGTCTATAAATACTCACATCCACAACCAAAACACTAAATAAATAGATATATACATGGAATGACACTGTTTCAATGGGAAATGTTTCTTCACTGAGTCGTTTTCTGTTCATGACACTGTAAACTGTGATAATAAGGAAAAAAGAAATCTATTAATCCTAATTCATTTCGACTTATCTAGAAGAGTTTTCAGGTGAAATTGATACAGCCTGATGAGAGGAGAAATGAAAAGAGACAGAAGACATACTTGTGATGCCTATAACTACAATACACTGAATGGCCTCATTAATGCGGAGTGAAAAGAAAAAATGTATGTGTAGTTCAACTGTTAGTTACAGTGTAGATTTCACGTGTGGCAATCATGATTCATGAGATGATTGTCGTAATGAATAACGTTTTTGAACTTGAAATTATGAATATTTTGCCTTCATGTATGCTTAGTGATTTTAAGTTCCTTTCTATTCATTATCATGATTATTGATTTTTAGAACTGATTTCACGGACAGAAATAATCGTCCAGCGTATATTCGAATACCTTTGGAAGCGATAGAGAAGCTGGAGTTCGGTATGTCTTTTCTTGTATTCATTGATACACATGTTTACGTAACTAAAACGTGTGTATAATATGTCAGTGAATAGGACGTGTTACCATAACTGTAACATGAACCGAAACTGTTTCAGTAGATACCGGCGAAGCTTACGTTGTTCAGTTTTCATTATTGGGTTGACGTATTTAATGCGTCCTGTGGATTTACTCTGAGATATACACGAATTAGTCTTCAATAATTCCATCTGTAGGTGTTCAACCGACAAACTAGATGAGATTATTGTGACGGAAGTCTTTATGAACATCATCGAACATCAGATTTACTTCACACTATTATCACTAGTATTGATTATCGTTACCGATTCCGTGTGTTCCGAGTGGGAGATTTACTTTACGTTGAGTAAGACATCTCAGACAAATAGTTCTAAATCCTTTTCCGAGTTCTGATTTCATCCCTGTTTTCAAAATGATTTCGGTTCTTGAAGAAATACACCTTGAAGTTCAGAATTGTGTTCTTTGAATTGAGACGGAGAAAATGCATAATCAGCTCGTAATAATTCTTGTCATAAAAATCACACCATTGACCAATTTACTTCTTACTGAGTTAGTTACCACGAGTCATTCGGAGTAAACTAATGCAGTCTTTTCTCACAGAATCTCAGTAAATACACACAGTGTTAGGAGATTACAACGATTTGCTCCAATCTATAAATACATGACATTATTTAAATTTATTAGGAAAGCAAGAGTAAGATGGAGAGGAAAAGATTATTATTATTATTTATTATTCCCTGTCGGTTCGAGTGGAACATAGGGCTTCAACAAAACATCTCCACTTTCTTCTGTTTTCTGCTGTCCTCTTCATCTGGGTCCATGATTGACCTAGCTCTCTCATCTCTTCCTCACACGATCTCCTCCTTGTCACCCTAGGACGACCCACTCGTCACTTCCCAACGGGATTCCACTCGAGGGTCTGGCGTGCGATGTCATTCGGCGGCCTCCTCAATTTATGCCCGATCCATCTCCACTTTCTCCTACATATTTGGTGGAGCGATCGGCTCTTCGTTGGTTTGTTCCACTGCAGAGTTTCTTGTTGCCTATTCTTTCTGGCCATTTGATTTTCAGTATGGAGAGAAAACAGCTACTGATAAAAGTTTGCAACCTGTTGGAAATCCTTTTAGTTACATGCTGGCCAACTTTCTGACTCGTATAGAAGGACTGACTTCACATTGGTGTTGAAAATGCGAGTCTTATTCCTTATGCCGTGGAGTGCAGAAGATTTCCAAACCGCTTTCAGGTTGATGAAGGCGTATCTTGCCTATCCGATTCTCCCCAGCTTTGACATCTTCGTCCGTTCCGGCTGTAGTTGAAACGATGCTTCCCAGATTAGTGAAGGAGGCAACCTTTGTGAAATCTCTCCCGTTGATGATGATTGGTGCTGGTTGTTGTTGCTGTTGGTTGGTGACCTTCATCACCTCCATCTTCTCTGTGTTCACCTGGAGTCCTGTTTTCTCTGCCTCCTCAGTCAGTTTATTGGTTTTCGCCCGGCTACAAGTTTTTTCGGCTTTGTTTGACATCAGACATAAATCATTCACGCGCGAAATCCAGATCTTCCAGAGTCTTATCGGTCGTCCAGCGTATTCTTGACTCCTCGTTCCTAATGCACAGTCTGACGCATAATTCAGTTCGCCACAATTAAGAATATCATCCGTGGTTATAATAGGCAGGCTGTCTTATCTTAGTCGTGTATGCACTTCGAACACCTCGCTGAGTTTTCCGTTGTGGATCACTTGACACGTTATATATCCAGCTGTTAAATGAAATTGACAAAGAGTTGAGGTACTCCGTAGTGTTGAAGCAGTTTCCAAGTTACTTTTCTGTCAACGCTGTCTGTCGAAGGCCTTTTCGAAGTCGATGAAGTTGAAGTAGAGGTTTGACTGCTATTCTATACTTTGTTCCGTGATGATGATGCGTAGAGTTGCAGTGTGATCAGCACATGATTTTCCTTTCCTGAAACCAGTTTATCCGGTGGCCGGAGCTCTGTATCCAGTGCATCCTTTATTCTCTCCAGGATGATGCGACTTAGTATTTTACTTGGCGTGGACAAGTGCATTATTCCACACCAATCAGTTCTTGCACTGACCTTGGAAGTTTGACGAGGTAGCCCTTCTTCTAGTCAGTAGGCACCTTGCTGATCAGGTCCTCTTGATCATCTTTTATTGGTTTCATCATCTGGGTTGATCTCTTTCTGGATAGAGACTTGTTTATTCGATATGGCGTCCTGATGTCTCTTTTGCTTGCGCCATGTCTGTTTTGCTTCAGTTGCTAGTGTGTCTTAGAATTGTTGTTTGTCTTTTCTGGCACTCTTCTTCACTCCTCTCTTTATTCAGTGCAGTGTACACTGAAATCAGCTTCTCCTTCTATTTTCCATCTTTGCATTGAGTCGTCTTCTCTTTCACCATCCTCCTCTACTTTCCGAGATTAGCTTCCAGGTATCCGTTGACAGCAATTCCTTATCTTGTCTCTTCCTTCCTCCTAGAACAGTTGTACACGTTTCCTTAAATATGGCTTTCAGAGAGTTCCAGTGTTCTTTCACACAGGTTTCCTCAGTGATGCCACGTAGTGTGTCCGAGTTTGCTCTGATATCCGTAGCAAAGTCATCCCTTATAGTTTTGTCCTTCAGTTTCTGAATGTTCAACTTGAATTACAGTGCTCTGTCTCCGTTTGTTTTTATGGATTTCAGTTTCACCTTGAAGATTCCTTGTACTAGATTATGGCCTGAGCCCGCCCACAAATGCTCCCCTTCTAAACTTTTATCCAACAGGCTGCGTCTCCATTTCCTTGAGATTGATATGAAATCTATTTGGTTTGTGGTGTGTCCGTCAGACGAAATCGATGTTGCTTTGTGTGTATCCTTGTGTTTGTACACACTCCCTCCGATTACCAAATCGTGGAAAAAGCAGAAGTCTGCGAATAATTCACCGCTATCATTCATTCCTCCCAGCCAGTCTCTCTACCCATGATGAGTTCTCCCCCTGTATCATCTGCTCCCAGTTTGGCATTCACATCGCTCTTAAGGATTTTGATGTCACCATTTGGGATGTATCCATTACTGTTTGTAGTTGTCTGTAAAATCTTCCTTCTTTTCTTGTTCAGCGTTGTTTGTAGCATTGGATAATTGTGAGCTTCCCTCCTCCCCTTTTCGTTGAACCTTGCTGTCATAATCCCGCTTGGTGAGCTTGGTTCCCGCCGCATTAGGTCTTTGCTGCCACTGGTAGCATCATGATAGCCACTCCCTCAGTGTGTCCGTCGTGGTTGTCTGAGTGACCAGAGTAAATTATTGACTCTACCGTTGACATTGTTATCAATCCACATCCGTTCCATCTGCTCTCGCAGACTGATACTCAGTACTTCTATGCCATATGTTCGCATCCTGGCTACCTACACAGCCTTCCCAGTCTCGTACATTGTACGGACATTCTACGTTTCGTCGAGAGAAGACACATTGGGTGGCTGACTGGCTTCCCGAAGGCTTTCACCAGCCGGCCCGCTATGCCATTTTGCCTCTCCGATTCAAGGGAAGAATAAGACTGTTATTAGAAGTCATTTTATTTTCAATATACTTTCTGTTTGTTGAGGTTTCTCTAGCAGTCTGAAAGATTTAGTGGTGCGGGGTTGCTAGCCCCATGCCCAACCCTCCCTCTTTACCCACGCTTGGGACCGGCCAGAAAACTAGCAAGCTAGTTAACTAGGCGGAGTTAGAGGAAATGATTCGAGTGCGGAAATGAGTGAAGATGCTGTTCAGAAGTGGAGTAAAAGATTTCCCGTTAAACCATCGATTTCAGAAATGAAATAGCAGCTGCAACAGCATCCAACGGAGTTGTATGTCTTCCACGTAACGTTGATATTCAACCTAATCAGGCTAATGACTTTAGAATTCTGAGAAGAAACAATTCTAAGGAGAATCGAAGTTGGTTGAAGTGTTTAAGAAGATCTCAGCCCAACCGACACTGCCATAATTAAGTAGTCTGCTTAATTCACAGCGTAATATCGAACGCCATGTAAATAAATGTCCTCTGTATCAGTAGCATGAATTTATTTGATGGATGACAATCCTTTTGTTTATGTTTCAGGATTGGAGCCGGCTATTTTTCGTGCAAAGTACTTCGTTCTGAGAATATTCTACAAACCTCCTGATGAAAATTCCAATCAGCCTTCTGATTCACAAAGTCAACCAATTGTTGTAGGCAGTGAATGTATGAATGTCAATTGTCAGCAAACACTGGCTTCAACTAACCAAGAAAAGCGTTCTCAATCATCAGATCTGAGTTTATCACCTGTGAAGAATGTTGAAAATGTAAACATCTTTGTAATTTTTGTTCTTTTCTGTGAAACGAGCATAGATATAATGATGATTATTTATTTCGTGTGTGTAATTGCCATTGAAAAGGAGGTATTCAAGTAAACTGTCTTGTGTGGATACTCAGTAGTTTCTTTCACAGACGCCTTGATATCGTCTTAAGTTAGATCTTGATTGCATGCACCCTGATAAGGCTGCCTTTTGCACTACCCATAAAGCTCACTGTAGAAACCATATTGACTGTAGTTATCGTGTATGTTGTCTTGTGTATACCATGAGATATGCAGGTCAAGCACACAATACCCCAACTGATGATGGGTCAGATTTGTTGTCATAATATGCTCATCACCATCATCATCATATTATGTGTAGTCGTCACCTGTTATGAATATTCGTATGACTGTCCTGGTAGCTAGACAATTGGTCGGATGCCTTTGTATCCTAAGAGTCGAACTAACATCACTCACTGTCGAAATTGAAAATAAGTTACTGGTGAGTTATTCACATCCTGAACGATTTAGTGATTGTCGGTAAAACTGAGAGCACCGAGTATACTTCTATTCTGTAGTTGATCTATCCCAGTGGAGAGTTTTGCAAGTGAAACAAGATAAAAACACATTTATTCGTGGTCATACTTTTGTATTACCTCAGCTTTTATTTAACTGTGACAATAGGCTGAATACAATGTAACTAATTTGTTGTATTATTGAAAGTTTGACGAAGGCATTTCACAAATAAGTAGACGTCTTCAAAACTGTTATACAGTGGTATTGGTGAAATACGTAGGAAACTTGGTTTTCGGTAATCACATATGGCACCCAACTGCAAGAGATTCTCATAAACTTTCTCGACATTAGCGAAAGTGAAACTCAATGTCAACTGTGCACCACGTTCACTTGGATTGGATGGTGTCACCAGCTGATATTGATTGTTTGGAAGAGCTAATGGACTTTTGTAATTAAGTATTCAAGGTAATTAGTCAATTGTATTGACTTTTCTCTCAAACGATGCATACCTCCACATGATTTGACTATATCGAGACTGACCGTTAAGGCGGCTGCCAATAGTAATGGAGGATTAGATATTCGATAGGCATCAGCGCCTTTCGCTAATTCCATATGGCCAGTAAGATCAAGTCGTGTCTCGGATCGATGACTCCACCAACCGGTCAACTGTGGACCAGATATTTCATTGTGAATAGAATTAGTGTTGTTCTTGGTGTTGTTGTTGTTGTTGCTATTGCTATTGGACTCAATAAATTTCGGTCCATAACTGCCTTCTTGATGATGATGTCTTTCATGGACGAATAAACCACCTATAGCTCCTGGACTGCCATTCAAGTATTTGTATGAACACCATACAGCCATATCAACATCCAGTCGTGTAAACGGAGGGGCACATTACCGACAGCATGAGCTAAATCCCATCCAACTGGACATTGTGAATATTCATGACCCCATCGAGTAATTTCCTCCATGTTGAATAACTGTCCGGTAACATACTGTACTCCCGGTAACCAAATCAATGCAATTCGATGCTGATTCTGTTTAATCGCTTGTAGAATATCTTCATTTCTCAAACAGTACTCATTGACACGTGGTTTAATCTTGATAATGCACTCGTCTGGTGTTAAACCATGCCAATTGATTTGTGATTCTAAGACATACAGATCACTTGGGAAGATTCCATCTTCAATTAGGATGCAGTTTTTATCGCCTTTTGGTCGGTAAAATTTCGCAATCAACATGTGCATATTAACTGATAGATTACAAGTGATGCTAACTTCACTTGCTTGAGCATTGACAATCCATTGAGCACAATCGATTGACAATTGTTTATCACAATAGGATGCTGGAAGCTTACCATAATGATAGGCTAAAACGCCTAAATCTCTCCACTCATTTAATATACTGTCCAGATAGGCTTTCAAGCGTGTTGGTTGCAAACCCATTGAATTTCCACAAAAGTAGAGAACCCGTTTCGGGGAATCACTTGCATCATTTCCTCGACTAGTGTTGTCAGATTTCGACTGAATCACTTTCATCACTTCATTGTAATCTGGTAGATGAAATTCGGATCGATAGGAGTGTAGTGAGTCATTCTTGTCGAGTTCTAAAGCGAAGTCGATTGAGTTGATATCCACTTGATAATCATTAGCCAACAGTTTCAACTGCTGTTCAGCATAGCATGTGGCCATTCTTTGTGTTCGGTGTGTTCTCGCGTTGTTTAATAATTGACCGATTCTTATCAATTGTTGTCCTTTTAAGCAGTCAGTATTTCAACGCGATTGGCAGTGACGATTGATTTTATCAACCAATCATTTGAGAAGAATCCAGCTGGGTAGATATCTTTGATTGGTTGAGAGTGGAAGACGACCTCACCCTCTGACCCCTTCAATAGGATTGGCGATTCACTCGTATAGTTAATGCTCCATTCATACATAAAGATTATTATACATTCATCCATTTTTCATGTATGGTGTTCGTTCCCTTAACCACTGACATGAAAACAAAGTGTGTAACTCATTCGAAACTTTTAATTGGCTTATTAGTGCACAAAGCACATTTCTTTTCGATAACTGTCTTCTCTTAAGGTTCTACAATTATGTATCCATGATCGTGAGTGAATAATTCCGATTGACATCTACAACAACAACAACAACAAAACAACAACAACAACAGCAATAACAGTTTTTAGATAACATCGAGACACTGACATCAAAATTCGACGACGATTGTGGGAATAGATAGTTATTAGATCATAGTCACAAAAAAACATGTGTGTGTATGCATGTGTATGTGATAATATGCATAAAAATAACATTCAATTTAGAACAGACTACCTCAAAACTAATCAATGAACACAATAGTTGATGCTCATGTTAATGTCCATATGTCATTCTATTCAGGCTATTTATTTGTAAAGTTCATGTGACTGAACGGATGATACTATGAAGAAAAAAGAGGGGGATAAAATGAGTTAGAGAGTGATGTATGTGTGACAGTGTGACGTGATTCAGTATTTATGAATTTGTTCATTGAGTGGTAGGCCAGGCTACCAATGGTAGCTGATCTTGTTCAGTTTGTACACTGAGTTTTGGCTGTTTTTAGCGAGTTGTTATGGCTTCCGCTGCTGTTTTGAGTATTGGCTACTTATTGGCTTCAGGTGGCTTTTTATTCAGTACACGACAGACGACAGAGAAGGATTCTCCTATGCTGGCGTTATCGTCTGATTGCATCAGGTGTGCTAATATCGAGCTGTTAATGGTTTTTATATGACACCCTTATTTCGTCACGCTAGTGAGTGAGTGTTCCCGAGTACGAAAAATGAAGCTGTCAGAACAACGACTGATGCAACTGGGTGCAAAGGTACAGTGGATTCGACAAATACTGGTGGAAGTGGCCTGACTAATCTATGGCCTGCGTCCCACTCAACAAACAGCTGATATAGTTTCAATTCAATTCGTTTCTAGCATCCTGAGGAATATGTCTATCTCGATTGCATCATCATCTCCATCTGATTGTCTCATGGATGAATCATGGAAATGTAACTGATTGTCTCACTCACATTCCACTGTGAAACTGATGTCTCCGTACACAACACAATGTAGAGACTTTGAAATAATTCACACGCGTAGTCCATGTCTTCACAGATTACATATTTGATTTCATATAGCTACTAAACGCTTTCTTATATATTATCACGCGATTTCATACATGTATGTTTCTGTGTGTGCGTCGGTGGCACAGCGGTTAGGACGCTCGCTGACCATGTACATGTTGTGGGGCTCGATCCCCGGCCGGCGCACTCCTTTACCTCGCTCAACCTGAAATAATCCTGGTAAAGAGGAAAGGTTGGGCATGGGGCTAGCAACCCCCATCCTGTAAAAACTAAACACTGCTACAGAAACTTCAAGCCTCTAGCTTGGAGCCCTATGTTCCACTGGGAACGTGAAGGAAAAATTATTGTTATTATTTATATTTCTGTGTAAGTAATACTTTTTAGTAGAACATCAACCAAATGTCTTCTCGACTATTCGCCTAAACTGATTGCGAATAGTTAGTATCTTTCCATGTGTGTTGTGATCGTCATTTCATCACATCACTTCACTTCCCTACAATCCCTATGCTTATTTCTTCGATTCATTAAGTCTATGCAAATTTCAGTCTGTATATAGCTGAAGATATGCCTAATTATGTTTTATTGACATTGTTAATATCACATGACTGTTGTTTGATGAACAATATTTGTTAGTTGGCTGGAAAAGCAAAATGGCGTATGATGTCTAGTATGACGTTAGTCAAATCTTGTCTACACCTACTTACTTACTTACTTACTTATTATTGTTATTGAGACTTTGTCTGTGTCCGAGATTTATGCTGTGAATGCGTGACCCGTGGTTTGACTAACATTTCTGTCGGAGAATCGCAAGTGCCGTAACGATCTTGCAAATCGATGTAGATTCCTGCAAATAGCAGACAACTTCCACTGATGTTCAGATGTCTATGATTTGTGTGGATTTTGATTAATTTCAATCGTTAGATTTTTGTTTTTGACTAATGTCAGCTGAAGAGATCATTGAGATCCAGAGAGTACCGGACAGCTCGTAAGCTCTGTTTTTTGGAATCTTCATTAGTGAGGTTTCGTGTGCATTTCGGATTGTGAGGGCGATTGTTACTTCCCGGCTGCCCACACCGTGGAAGTTGATTGCGTAGAACCCGGGGGACAACTGCTTGAGGTCGGTCACACGCGGCCTGCTTTTGTTTGTTCGTTATTGTTTGGTGTGTCTCAGTAGCATATTTATCACTCCTGCCATGTGACACGTCAGCAGGAAGCGCAGTCGTTGTTAATCCCGGCCAATCCGGCATGATATTTTGTGAGTTTGTATGTATCATAGTGTTGGATTGGGTAGTTGCTTTTTGTCTAACCGCTATCCAAACAACCTTTCTGGCATGGTAGGACCTCAAGGGAAATAAGTCTCAGCCAGTATAGCTTGATTAGGTCGTTGCGGTGTTCAAGCCTGACCACCACGTCAAGGTAGCAGCTTTCGATCGGGTCACTAGTGAACCCCCCTAACGCCTTCCAGCGATAAAGTTGTAATTCGGGGATGATTGAATTCCAGCCCAACAAGTGGCTGAATGGTCGAAGAGCTTGATCTCGTATTATGAAATTGGTAGATTGGGTCTCCGGGGGATTCGTGGATACGCATTACTGAACAGTCCCAGAATAGGACTAAATAGCTGTCAAGTGCTCCCTGCTTCGCAATAGTCTCTTTCTCTCTAGCTAACTGGTGTTAGTTTGTGATAAACGTTTAACAGCTGCGATTTTATCGATGTAATTCTTCGTTATGTTAACGGTGAAAGCTGTTTTGTGACAGACACTGAGAGGTTTTGAGAAATGTTAAGTGAATATTTACAGGTAGAGTCAAACATTGAGTTATCACTAGCTAATTCAAGATACAGTGTGAACTTTGATGGTTGTCGGATCTCGAAAATTCGATACATTTCCTTCTATTTATAAATGTTTATAAAGTAATAATAGCAAACCTACGTGAATTGAATGTTGACCTATGGAGTAAACTGTGAGAATTGGAAAGTTTGTCATCTTTTTAATTTATGATTTATGAATAGATGTGAAGACAGATGTTGTTTGAGATGTCATAAGAATTTCACACTATTCTTTACAATGACCAACTGAAATGAGGCGAGAGTAGAGATTTGAGCAGGATGATGTGATATCGTGTTATTTTGTCACTCTATCCTCCTCTCCGACGACATTTCATCATCATCATCATCATCATCATCATCATGATCACAGTTTATTAATAGAACATGTTTCATTGTATTATTGAACAGATTCGAAGTAACAATGGGAGAATATCTCGAACAGATGTTGTATTTGGTCGAATGGCTCATGCATTCACTACAAGTTTCCTAACGAACGATAGAGATACAGAAGACAGTCAATACAAATTGAACTTGCAAGGGAACCGGACAATGTCAGAACAAAATTATTCAGAGGTTGAAAATAAAGATGTAAGTAGTGGAGGATGTGCTGGGGGTGGAGGAGTTGGCGTTGGTGGCGCTGGAGCTGGTGGTGTTGGTGGGGGTAACAATGCTACTGGGATCCGTAATTTTAGACAAGCACTTAAAATGCCGAAAGTAACACATCATTTCCTTGAATTCCTTCAACCAGATACAAGACTCTTCAATACAGTTCTAGTCCCTGTTCCACCAGGTGACGAGTCTGTACAAGCATTACGCGTTGTAGCTTCAACAATTCTCATTTCACTTCAATCGATTGGTAAGCGAACACTTACATTTTGTCCTGCATTATGGTTTTGCTTATCGAAATAACTAAACATATCCATACTGACAATCTTCAGCATTGTGATAGCATTTTATCCAATTGAAGGTTAGGTGGGAAATCAGAAGTTGCTTATAATGGATGAGTTAGCTCATTTTGTATATCCCTATCATTAGGGATTTCTCTTATCAACTCAACGACTTTGTCATTTTCTCTAAAGACGCCACATTGAATATATTCAAATATCCAGTAATTGATATATTAACACAACTTGTGAACACTATTCAAAACGCACGTGTCAAAATGAAACAAGACTATCGATTCACACCACTTCTCTATCGTCAGTTACTTAGCTCATTTGAATGAATAACCTGCTTCTATTCAAATGACGTGTTGTCCCATATTAGGCTTGCTTAAATCTCGGCTACCGAATACTTCCATCGATATTTCTCAGATAATTCCTCCCGTCCAGGTTGTTTAAATTTTTTTGTTGTATTCCTCTAGCTTCCCAGGGGAACATAAGGCTTCAAGCTAGAGCTTTGAAGTTTCTGTAGCAGTTATTATTTACGGGGTGGGGTTGCTAGCCTCGCGCCCAACCATCCCACTTTACCGGATCTACCACCGGCTAGGTGAGGGTTGGGGTGTGCGTCAGCTGGAGATCGAACTGCGAACCTTATACGTGGTTGGCGAGCATTCTACCTCCGTACCACCGACGTACTTGTTTAAATCTAATAAAATATAACCACTGATTTTAATATGTATTCTGGTGAGTATTTTTTTAATGTCTGGAATCTGTTGATTCGCACGTTTCTACTAAACATGAGAAGAAGCATGATTGTGGGTGGCAGCGTATTCCAATGGAAGAGATGACTGTTCATGAGTTGACTCCTTGGTTCTCAAATGTGTTCGTGAAACTTTTCTAACTGTCATTCAAGCCAAATTTCGTGAATTTAACGAAGAAGAGATATCATAATAATTTGGTTTGGGCTGCAGGTCAGATTGTGATGTGTCACACGATCTAGTGTCAATTTATATTTTATTCGGAGATCGCGTACAAAGAGAAAATGCCATGCGATAAGCTCCGTTGAAAATTCTGTACATTACATCAACATTGTTGCGAATAAAACTACTTATTGTTTTCATGACTTGCAAGGTGGTTCGCTTCAGTTCACTCTCTTGAATATGTTCATTTACAGTGCAGGTTAATCAGTTGAATTGCACAGATCATCAGCAATGTCAATTAGTACACAACACAATTTTGATTGTATCACCTGTCATCTATTCGTAACTGGATACTTATTTCTCGTGATAAAGCCACTCGTAAAAGTTTATTTCCTGAATGAAAAGAGTGTTTCAAAGATTGAATTGATGCGTGACCGAGTCGATTCAAGTGTAGACACAACGATAATAAACCTGAATTGGTGGCCTCAATCGACTGATGAATAAGGTTATTCCGTTTCAGGACCTTCTATTTCACTGAGTCAAACGAATATCACATGACGAAACTGACCGCTGTAACTGTAAGCACGACATTATTGGCTAAATATACATCATGTATCTGTATAGCCAACACACATAAATCTGCAAAAGTCCAATGTGCGTCGGTGGCACAGCGGTTATGACTCTCGCCGACCATGAACATGGTCCGGGGTTCGATCCCCTGCCGACGGACACCCGATATCAATGGTCGGCCTGCAAAACTTGGGCTATCAATATCACATGCTTAAAATTCCATACTTGTACCAAAAATACGTTGTGGAATCAAGCTACAATAAAAAAATGATGCGACGATTTACTCTGATTGGTTGCATGAAGTTAAAAATTGTCGAACAGAAGTAGTAATACATCAACATGACAGTATATATGTAAATTTGAAAGTATACTACCTCAACAGCTAATGGCTCAAAACACTGATTCCAATATTAACCACTGCACATCATTAATATTTTTCTAACATTAATATTTGGTTGTGAGTATAATGTTGGGTGGATGATTCCATGACAGAATGGTATCCAACCACAGATGTATGAGGCGTCCGATTTTCGGCTAACGCACTCCTTAACCTTGTTTAGTTTACTGGTCCGAATTCATCCCGGAAAAATAGGAGAGTTGGACGTGTTGCTAGGACCCGCATCCCTTGTGAATCAGCTCCGTCCTTCATATTTCAGCACCTCTCCATCTTTCTTAGTACACACATCTTCATTCATTTCGTAATTCTACTTCTGAATAAAACAACAGACATATGCTTAAGGCTAGTGGTTGACAAATACTTTGTAATTTACTTTGATTTCATGAAGGATGAAATTTTATGAATTCTGAAATATTCCAGTTGATTGTGTTTGTACGGATCTATTTGTTATTATCTAATACATCATTAAAAGAAAAGATCAGCAATAGGGATCTCTGGGAACGAACCGACCAAGAACCGATTGTGAAACAAATAGGCAGGAAGAAATGGAGGTGGATTGGCTGACCATACTTTGAGGAAACCATCAAGTGACATCACTATACAAGCCATAGCTCGAGTGGAACCCGAAAGGGAAGCGGGCGGCGAGTTGGTCGTCAGTGCAAGGGTGACTTGGAGGAGGTCATATGAAGAGGAGATGAAAGCGTGTGGGCAAACTTGTGGTGCAGTGAAAACGTTGGCAGAGAACCGAACGCAATGAAGACGCGCGGCTGAAGCCCTATGTTCCTCTAGGAATTAAAGGAAATAATAATAATAAATCAACATAGCTACTGAATTTCCCAATACTTTTAATTGTTTTTTGCTGAAGTAAAATTCTGTAGTGAGTGAGGGTTGAGGAGAAATGCATATAAGGAGAATAAATTATACTTTTAAATGTTTACCAGTGTTTTTGTGTCTACACACAATTTGTTTTCATCACCAGGTCGACATTTAGAGTTGACTGAAACAAAACCGCCAAATAAACTGGAGCGTTTACGTCAAGCTAATATACCGAAAGCATATCAACCACCAGTTGACCTACACACCCTTGGATATGGTCTGCGTGCGTTGGGTCGAAGACGTGAATCTACTGTCAGCTTACGTAGTCGGCATCGTACGTCTAGAGCGAGTTCAATCCAACCCGCACAATTGGATACTGATGATGCATCAGCAGATGTTATGAATAAGGAGGATGAGAATGCAAGGGATGAGACATCATTTGGAGGATTGAATAAGAATGTAATTAAACAGAGATTGAGGCAAATCAAGGCAAGTTTTCATTAGTCTGACCTTTGATTTTTATTGATGCTTGAGGGAATTCGAACTCGTCTTGACTAATACTCAGAGTGTAGATTTGTGTGATAAGTGTTCGAACTAGGTGTTCTCGAAATACAAAGTCCGACGCTTATATAATAGTACTGTGAATGATGTGAGTGTTCACCAGTTTTGTGTACCAGTGAGAAGTATAATTTCAAGTTTCCGAAAGCAGTTAGATAGGATCAGTTGATTTCCCCGGTTTCTTTACAAGTAATGTACACACTATTAGCAACCGTGTAAAATCTGAAAATAACGAGGTGAACAATTGATCGAAGTGTGTGTATACAACTGAATCGATCACAATTTCATCTTGAATGATGGTAATCTGTGGGAGGTGGAAAGATGAAGAGAGCAGTAATGATAAGTGACGATACACAACTGTTCAGGTTGACTAGAGAGTCAAGCACCAGGACATTTACAATCATCTAGACTGTACTAGAGGTGCATGGATCGCTCACATTATATATAATACAATTTTAACAAACCATTCAACTATCCTGATTTCGGTCTCAGTTCGCCTACACTTCATCCAGAGATTTAACGAAACACTGGCATAAGCGCCCTATTGTTTGAACAAGTGAAGGAAGTTGTAAACAAGCATAAATGAAAGGAGAAAGCCGCGATTGATGAGCATTCCCCAAAATCATCTAAGGAATGTCAGTTAAGATTATTGATTGAAATGAAGAATATTTCAGCTTTGATTTGAGTGGTGGACATGATTTTCGCTAACTGGTTTCAGTGACTGATGTTCTGATTTTCCAAGTAGGAATAAAGTCGTTCATCATATGGCGATATTAGGATTGGCCTAGCAAATTTAATGTCACAATATATAAAATTCTTGATATTACTATATATAATCATAGCTTGAGAAAATGTAGCGTTGGAAAATGGTTTCAAACTTGACCGTAAGTGTATCGCTCACTCTGTGGTGTTTTAGAATATGGGCACATCTACTGGTACTCGATGCTAGCTTTTTATTTTGATCCCAATATCGTTTTTGACGCAGTTGATCAAACGGTCTCATTGTAATGTTTCCCATTGAAAGAGATAGACGTAGAAACTACCCTTCCCTAAGGTATCTCTCCTTAAGTACTCATGATCGTAATACATGATTCGACCTTCTACTGAACAGTGTACTATCCTAACAACGAGCAGGAGGTGGTAGTCGCATTGAAGGACATTAATTTAAGCCGAGTAGTAGGTGCATAAGTATAATACAGTTGTACCTATGCAATTCATGTGCATTTGGATAGAAGGCGTTAAGTAGTATAATAAAAACTAGCCAGAGAATGGTGTCACCTGAAAGAAGGAAAATGGACTAGAGTACAATGGAGCTGACTGAAAAGGTGAAAGTGTAGGAAATCCATATTCCATAAAATAATATTTCCAATTATAAGTCATCTGTTGTGTTTTGTTTCGGATTAGATGTCTCCAACATCTCATTAAGGGAAGAAATCACGGTTGCCTGGGACCCAGGTAGAAACCTGTTGTCCGTCCTCTGCACCAGTCTGACCAACAGTGAAACAGAAATTCTTTGTTAATAAAGAAGGTGTTAATGGTTTCCTCAGTGTCGGTAGTACAGTGGTTAGGATTCTCACCGACCATGAACATGATCCGGAGTTCGATCCCCTGTCGACGGACACCTGGTCGGCCTTCAAAATTTGGGCTACCGATATCACATACTGAAAATACCATACTTCTACCAAATATACTGTGTGGAATCAAGCTATAATCAGAAATATATATATATATATATATATATATATATATATTGACACACTCAATCTTATGTGTGTAAAACAACAGCAATTCATGTCAATTCTGAGTAAAATCAGTTTGTAGAGAAGTGTCGAACAGGCGAAATTTATTAAAGCGAATGTTTTCGTTGGAGAAATTAACATAGATAATGATGTGCGCTACACGAAGCTCACGTGAAACATTGGCACATATTCTGGTAGAATCATTCATCATTCTGGTGAACCTATAGCTAGCTAAGCAAGATGAGTATTGTCGACTGAATAATTCCGCACCATTTTTTTTGATAACACATACAAGAGTCATGTATTGGGTGGTGAAACAGATTAAGCATCACTTCAAACACAGGAAATAACTATGTGGTTGAGTTTGAATGCACCCAGGAAATATTAACTTGTTTCGACAAGTGTTGATTGAGACCAAAAGTGTGTAAGTCGTCGTCAGCGAGGTAACAAACGTCATTCAGATGAGTGTTTCAGAAGGAAATGATATAGAAGCTATCCTGTCGGTAGTGACTACCCACCGAATTCACATTGACAGTAGTTGGAAAGACTTGATGAATGGGAGAATCTGAAGTTCTGTGAAGATGGTCGTGATATATGCAGTAGTACTGGATGTTGTTTGATATTCTATGAGTATTTGGATGTGCTCTCGAAACAGCTGTTAGACTGAGAGAAATACCAAGTGCTTGACAGTCGGCTCTCCTAATAGTCTAGAGGGTGATGTTGATGTGTACTGATCGGGAATGAGTGCTAGGCTTCATATTGTTATAGAGAAAGATAAACAAATCGTACTCTATAGTTTTCAGTAATCACTTTAGCCTTATAGCTTAGCTATGCAAACTATTTTAAAATTGATCACTTATTCTCTCGGAACACGTCTAATCCAATTTCTTTTATCTACACATATCTACTTCATTTATGACAATCATATGTTGTAAAGTTGCCTAAGTTACCATTTAATTTTGGTCGGAATACAAGATCAACATCAGAACAGAATCGTGGTAAGAATCTACCAATAGTCGCTGAAAAATCGAACAATGCTAAACAGGACAGGGGTGAGCCAGATTCAGAAATTGCAGGTGAGGAATAATAATAATAATACTAATAATATCATTATTGTCCTTCACTTTTTCTTTTTGTCGAACAATTTTCCGTTGTACTAGTGAAAGTTCCAGGTGTAGTAAATACTGATTGGTGTCCTTAGCTAGAAGAAATGAATTACTTGAATAAAGATTTGAACGGAAAAAAATATTCAAGATGAAAGTGAATCATCTGTAGCTCATTTGACTGCTTTTAACGTTGAATTCTTCGATTTGAAAGGGGTTCAGCTGACAAACTTTCTTTTTCTGGCCAGATGACATCGTTATCATTGACTTGATTTGAAACTGACTATATCTCTTAGAATGAGATTGATAATGTTACATTGACGTCATCCAGTTAGAGGGAGAGACAGAGAAAACAACACAACTTTTCGAGTCATCTGAATAATTCATGTCACTATCTGCAACGGTATGGGGAAGGTATCTGGGAGTTGTTTGATTGGGACATACCAGCTCCACCATCTGTTTCACCATTTAATCGCCCCAAGATCTGTACCGCTAGATTATCTTGTGGATGAAGAATAGTGTAAATTGAAGGAATAAAGAACGTAGTCAGTACTACTGTAACGACAGAAGACAAGGACAAGGCCACAGATCGTTTATTGAGGAAATCAAGGGATATTTGTAGATTTTTATATACATTACTACTCGTTATTATTACCAGAGAAACAGCGTTTTCCGATTGGTTGTTTTCTCGCTGAAAGTTATTCTGTCATCTCTTTGTGGTCATTTCTTTGAAGGTCAGACCATATATCTGCTTATCATATCCGCTCACTCAAAGTCTGTTGTGATTGGTTGTTGAGTTACTCTTTGTTCTTGTTTTTCTCTCATAACAGAGAATTAGGAAGTAAACATTGACGTAAATTGTTGTCTACGAATTTGGCTAGCAGACAACTCTCGCCACACCACAATGACTAACACCCCGACAGAAGCTTACTTGTTTGACGACATTCAGCATGTTGCCAACATATACTATATACATAAGATTATGAATGAACTGGACGTCGAAGACAATTATCTGAATGGCGGAATGGACGTGTGTGCGATTGTGTGTGTGTGTGTGACTAAGTGATTGCGTTGTACTGCTGCACTGAGTGCATTCATAGTCAGAGTGATAAATAATTTCCAGGATAACCAACCATGAAGGCAATCATGATTTATAGTGTAGCAAAGAAGAAGAAATACTCGACTTGGTTGTCTTGAAAGCATTTAACAAGAGGACTGTGATTTGATATTTGCACATCGTGATTTGGATAATCCACATCCATTCCATCTGCTCTGGCAGACAGATACCCAGTACTTCTATACCATATCTTTGAATACCTTTGGCTACCTGGACAACCTTCCCAGTTTCATACGTTGTATGTACATCACACGTAGCCATTCTTACTCTTGCTTTCATTGAGAGAAGACACAATGACTACCTGGCTGACTGGATTCCCGAAGGCTTTCATCATCCAGCCCGCTGTGTCATTTTGCCTCACCGATTTGAGCGAAGAATAAGATTGTTATTTGAAGTCATTTTATTTTTAGTATATTTTCTGTGTGTTGAAGTTTCTCTAGCAGTTTGAAAGATTTAGTGGTGTGGAGTGTCAAGCCCCCATGCCCAACCCTCCCTCTTTACTCGGGCTTGGGACCGGCTAGCAAAACTAGCAAGCTAGTTAACTAGGCGAGGTTGGCTTCATAGTTTGCTCTCTCTCTCTGTCTCTATTTCTTCTACTCTCTCCACTTTTTTGTTTATTGAAATTTCCCGTATATCCAGTGTAGGCGTTTTGTCGTTTCAACTGTGTGTGTGTGTGTGTTTAGTGTTGATTCGATGAACAAATATTCGGTGATTAACCTCTCTCTCTCACTCTTTCTGTCTGTCTACGTAACTATAATCCTTCTTGATGCACTTACTCTATCCTACCACCTCATTGTGTGATTACATGCAGGTGGATGCATTGCATTGGTTTCGCTCTTTTCCAGTTTATATAACTTATCAGGGACAGTCATTCTAGGTCTAGCTAGATTTCTATGTTCCGATAATCTAATTGACTCTGATCCACTGTAGTAGTTTGATCCATGTAACTGACCTCACAGTCATTACATGGTATTTCAGTAAATTACATGATTTTTCTTAATTGGATCTAGCGAGTATTTGAGTCGTTCATCTCTCTCCTTCTTTTTGATCGTCAATACCAGATTGTGCACAATTCTGTTCACCCAAGTTCAAGTCAAAACGTAATAACAACAATCCTGTCTTCAACGGCGATGACGACTATAATTATGATGATGCTGATGAAGATGATGACGATGACTTAGATGAAGAGGACGAAGCGACTGACAACAGTGACAGAATCGATGGTGAAGATGATGTCGATCTGAGTGATGAAGATTCTCTCTCTGAAGACAATCAGTCAACTATTAAAATTCCTATCTTGTATCCTTTATTCAGGCGGTCGACGTTTCATGGTGCCCATGAAGCATTACAATGTAAGCAGGCGATGTCATACTCACCATCATTGAAGCAAGCATATTCCAAACAATACTCACATTCAGAATCTGACATTAGTAAGCTTCTGACGTCATCAACACCTGTTTCCTTCCGTGATTGTATGGATGATCAACAAAAGCGACAGTTGGAAACAATCTCTAAATCACGGAAGAGGTTACTGAAAAAATCATATCAAGCCATAAGCGTGAGTACTACATTTTTGATATTTATGATTAGTATTCCTTTGGTTTCTGAGTGGAACATGGGACTTGAACAGCACGCCTCCATTCGAGATCTTGTTGTCTTCTGTACGACGGCTCATAAGTTTTCATCTCCTCCTCCCGCTCCATGTCACCCTCAGATACTGAAGTCGTTGTTTCCTATTCGGGTTCCACTCAAGCGCCAGTAGCGTGATGTCACTCAACGGTCTCCTTGGAGTCTGCTCGATCCATATTCTTCCTCCTGTATATTTGTCTAGAGATAGGTTCTTGGTTGGTTTAATATCAGTAAAAAGTTTGAGCATTGTGGATTAGATCAAATAAAGTATAATTATATTTTAATAGTTTACACACAATGATAAGTTTTGTTATTGGTAATATTTCGAGCAAAGTTACTGCCCGTGTTCACTCACACCACTGTTGGAATTGTTTTGTTGGTTAGTTAGTTAGTGAGTTGTCGGAGTTGCTTGTTGCTAGTTCTTTCTGGCCATTTGATCTTCAGTATGAGGTCGAACCCAAGTGTTGGCAAAAGTCTGAGGCTTGCTGTTGGAAATGCTTTCGGTGATACAGTGAGCCTCTGAAGCATATAGAAGCACTAACTGACTTGATAATATAGTTGGTAGTCCGAATCTTGTCCCTTATGCTTGATGAAGTAGATTTGCAACAGGAATCTCTGGGAGCGAACCAACCAGGAACCGATTGTGAAACAAATAGGCAGGAAGAAGTGGAGATCGATTGGCTGAGGAAACCATCAAGTGACATCACTATACAAGCCATCGCTCGAGTGGAACCCGAAAGGGAAGCGGCGAGTTGGTCGTCCCACGGTGGGGTGACTCGGAGGAGGCCATGTGAAGAGGAGATGAAAGTATGTGGACAGACTTGGAGCGGGGTGAAAAAGTTGGGAGAAAACCGAAGGCATTGGAGACGCGCAGCTGAAGCCCTATGTTCCTCTAGGAATTAAAGGACATAATAATAATAGATTTGCAGACTGATTTTGAATTAATTAATCTTTGTTTTGACTTTCCGATCACGCCTTCGTCATCTGTGCCTCCCCACCTCACCCCTACTGTATTTGAAACGATATTGTCTAGATAAGTGAAAGTGGTGACTTCCTTCAAATTTTTCCTATTGTTGGTGATCAGTGCTCCTTGATGTGTGTTTTGAGGTATCTTCATCAACTCTGTTTCCACATATTCAAGCCCTGTAATATTCTGGATTATAGGCACATTTATTGATATCCTATACTAACTATTATATCTTGATATGAATGTAGTCTTAGATTCGATTGAAAATCCTCAGACTATATGGATACAGCTTTGCAATTCTCCTAGACTGTGAGTGATTGCAGAACTAATTTTCATCTGTGGTGGAAACCACTTCAGGAAATGAAAGTATATAGGCTATGAAGTGTCAGTTTTGGGAACATAAGCCTCTTAGAATGTGTAAGTAATCCTGCTCTCCTAGGTTTTGGTGGAGATATGTGGATGTCACATACACCGTGCTGAAATCCCTCAATTTGTCACACATATAAACTCACTAGTAGACGAAATGCAATTCATTTCTGAGTTAGAAAATGAATAGGGTGAGTTGGCTATGCTAGACTGTAGAATGAAACGAAAACAAGATGGTGGGTTAGATGCATTTATAGCACTTATAGGAAACCAAAACACTCTAATAAATACTTAGACTTTACTTCATTCCATCCAGAAAAGGTAGGTTTAGTTTTCATAATCGGGCCAAGAGTCTAACTAGAAGGCCAGAAGATTTAAATAACGAAATCAAACAAATAAGGGAAATATTTCTGGTGAATAACTACCCACCAGAATTTATTCATAAATATATGTGAAGAAGGGAACCATTGAAATAACAAGATTAGCAATAAGATTGACGAAAATAACAAAATGATACAGGAGTTGATCACGGATTGATATCAGTTAGAGAACCATTAAAAACAAACAGGGAGTACTGGACAGCTGCTGTTTCATCCTAGTTTGGGAATCATCGCCAGTATGCACCCACCAACAGGCTTCGAACCCAGGACCTTCCGGTTACAAGGCCAGAGAGCTCGATTCAATGGCCAACCCATGAATTCGAACTTCTATCAATTCGTGATTTAGCGCGACCCCAACGATTGTCGTTGGTAGGACATCCATCCACACACGTGACATCTAATTGGACCTCACTGGTCACGACTTCTCACTAGAACTCAGGAAACTCCAACCTGTAGCAAGTCATTAGCGAGCATCAGATTAATTTTCTATAGTTTGGTTTGTAAGGGTCAGTTATGTTTTTACGAGTTGATCACGGATTGATATCAGTTAGAGAACCATTGAAAACCAGGGAGTGCTAGACAACTGTTGTTTCATCCTAGTTTGAGAATCATCGGTAGTACGCACACACTGGAATTCGAACCCAGAATGGATGAAACAGCAGCTGTCTAGTACTCCCTGTTTGTTTTCAATGGTTCTCTAACTGATATCAATCCGTGATCAACTCGTAAAAACATAACTAACCATTACAAACCAAACTATAGAAATGATATAGAATTCAAAGCCTCTGTAGCACTGACGTATAAAGAAGAAACGACAAAGGCCTTACGCCGAATCCTCAGTGATACTGGAATTAAAGTGGCATTTAAACGAATATAGGCTGTAAAGTATCCAGCTTTTGTACATTTGTCTAAGTCCATATCGGTTCAGATTGTATGCTTCTGGAACCAATAGTGAAGTAAACGCATCAAGTTGTACTTCTATGCCATGAAATCCATGAAAGGACCATCCATTTTGTTGCAGAAATGCTGAGTGGATTAATATTTTTCGTTTCTCATTTGAAATAGCGAAGTGATTTTGGGTTGTAAGTGGTATAGCCTTGTTTATGGCATCTTGATGTCACAACTTTAAAGTAGTTGCTTACAACCTATTTATCAGTAGTAGAAACAATTGTATTCAAATATTCCCTCTGTTTTTTATGCTACTAGAAATCAAAACTTTCACTACAACTGAATCGTTTCCCAAATGTTGGACAAAATGATAAAGCTGAGTCAACGACTCCCAACAAAGTGACACTTCAACTTCCTAGTCATCATTTGTTGACTCCAAATGTTACTGAAAGACAGATTAATTTACAGACTGCTAGTCTAGAAGAATTATTATATGGGATTGCTAGTCTCCATGGTGGTGACAGTGGCAACACTCGAACAGGTAGTGTCAGTCGTTTGGAGAAGCGTAGTAATGATCGTGGTAGTGGAACAGTGCCAACAAAGTCTGATTCTAATTCACGTGTGCCGAATGATCAAACTATTCCATTGGAATGCCTCAACAATAAGATTATCTTCGAAAGGTTACAACAATTATTCAAAGAGTATACACAACCAAGTATAATGAATTCACTATTAGTTTTATCATTATCATCACTGCATAGTGAATTTAACAATAATCCTGTAAATAATTCCACGATTGATTCAACTGCTTCTACTACTAAAACTACTGATTACACTACTACTGAGTCTTTCAACAAAGAATTCAATTCACTGGTGGTAATACATGATTATGGTTTATACGAGCTATTGAAACATGTCTATTTACCAGATATTCAGCTACCTAAAAATGCAAAGTTAACTGAAAAGTTGAAGCGTAAACAACTGTATACACTGATTCAGTTAGATAGAATTCGTCGTCAATTATTTTGTGCAGACAAACGACCGCAGCAGCATACAGGAGTTGGTGAAAAGTACCAACTGGGACAACAGAAAACAATTTATTCCTCATTTATTATATTTTGATGCATTCCTCTGTGTCTTTCTAACCAGTCTGTAAACATTAATTTTGAAATTCTTCGCACATATACTTTATCACATGCCTATACTACTACTTCTACTATTGAGTAGACTACTTATAAACAAGATATCCGTCTTTTACTATTATCTTCATGCATGAGTGATTTCAGTCAACAACAGGAACACACAGACACACACACATATACAGATATCTATCGTCCTGGGAGAGAAACATCATTATGACCAGCTTTTATGTTCTTGTTGTTGTATAAATTGCATTCGTGTTTTTGTCATATGTTAATGATCGGTCTTCTATGCCTCCTCGAGTACTGTCTTTACACATACAATTATTCTTATTGTTGAATATGTGTACGTCAATATCTATGCATCTATCTGTCAATCTATCCAGCCATCTTTGTTTTCATGTTGTTCCTGTGGTACTAACTTCTCTCCTGAGGAGTTAGCCATTTGTTGCACACATTATCTTTATTGTGAATTTTCTCATTGTTTTGTGTGTACCAGCCACCAGCAGCATATACGCATAGAAAGAAGTGATCGTGTATGTGTGTGTATTTGGATTATATTCCTCCGTTTCATTTGTACCTCATAATAATATCCAGCACATACGAGAAGGAGGTGAACAATTCAGTCTTATTTATTAAACAAAACAACGAAAATAAAATTTTATTTTCTTTTGATCGATTCATCAGGTATTTTTTGGGTGGTGCCAGTCAGAATCTCAAAAGGACAGTAGTCCTTCCGGTTTTCCTGGTACAGTCAGTTTTAGAGTCATTTTCTGATGGTCTAATATCCGTTTGGTACTGTCGAATACTTTCTGCGATTCTTCCGACCAAGGAAACTTCAATTCACCTAATAGTCTCTACAAGGGGGGAGGGAGGGGAAGTTTTTCACAAATTGACCATGAAATGCTGCTCACCCCGGAGGAACTGCCTTAGCTTCCTCTTGCAATTAGGAGTCGTAGTGGTCTATATCGACAAGATTTCTTCCGGAAACGGTTTTGTCTCACTATCGCCTACTTCATCACCCGACAGCAAGACACTCTGTTTGGCTATCCCAGATTTTGTTTTGTCGATGCTTAGTCCATACTCTTCAACGCGTCTCAACACGGCTTCAACACATAACCGCTTTCATTTTGACTGTAGACGATGAGATCATCACCGTACACCTCCACATTCTTCAAGTAACTAAGTAACAACATTGGTTATCAGTTGTCTGAAGGTGAACGGTGCTAATCCTGATAGTCCAAATGACATGCTTTTAGACCGACAATGTTTCTGATCCACGTTGAACGCCGTCTCAACTCTGTCACTCTGTATAATCGATATCGTCCAATATCCTGGCTGGATGTGGAGCACTGTAAACGAATTTTCGCTTTGTAGACGATCCATGTCCATATCACAAACAAATGACAGTCTTGGCTAGCACACTGCGTTCATACATTCTTTCCGCGTTTACCAGTCAGTCATACTTGAGTGTCATGTCGAATTATTGTTTCCGATTTCGCTGGCTGATGGATGGATTTTTGTTACAACCTGGCCCTAAACAATCTGTTTGCTCTTATTATATCACCATAATAAACAGTCAGTCTTAGTGATCAGTAACACATAACATCAGTGACACATGACGTAAGGTGTATATTATTTCCAAATCATCCTTTCGGATTATCACGTTTCCATCAGAAGACACTTCAAATTGGAGATCGTGTGATATGAATATCGGTTTGCATTTGAAAATACGCTTCACTTTAGTTGGTGGATTGCTATTACTGAATGACAAATATGACAACTAGGGAGAAATCAGAATAGAGTTTTCAACTAGATTTAACTGCTCCTGTGAAGCCAGTTACATAGGTCGTACAATTAGGCGTGTTTCTCATCGAATTTCCGAACATCACTCTGCGTGGTTAAGCAAATGTCAAATAAAATCTATTCGCAGCGCTATTCTGTCTCATCTTGTGGAGACAGTATACAAGATTGACGTTAAACATGCTTTCAGGGTCATTTACCGCATACCTACGAATCTCAATTTTGCCTTAAGAGTTCGACTCCTAAATATTGCTGAGGCTGAGGGATCCACATTAACAAGCCTAATTTATGCATCCAAAAGAAGTTAGTGTAGACATTATCATTACATTGGCCATCCAGGTTTGAATAATCGTGAATTTTTGTGAAATTTCCCTAATTTTAGTTGATATTATATTCGCTATTATACCTTTATTACTAATATAATTTAAGCATCTTTAATGAACTGTAATTGCATTGATCATACTTTACAAATCGATATTATTTAAAAAACACTAATATTGTTATTAATTACTAATCTAGAATATTCTATGTATATAAACATATAAAATGAGAAGTCGTGACCAGTAGGGTGCAGCAGGTCGGGTGTGAGGACAAATACTCGCCACCGAAGAGATTGGCTAGGGGTCGCGCTATGTCGTGATTTGGCAGAAGTTAGAATCCATGGGCCATTGGATTGGGTCCCAGTAGCTTAATGGTATACGAGCTAGCTCACCTTGTAACCAGAAGGTCCTGGGTTCGAACCCCAGTGGTTGCGTACTGATGAGGAATCCCAAACTAGGACGAAACAGATGTCCAGTATTCCCAGGTTTTTCAATGGTTCTCTAACTAATGTCAGCTGATGATGAAATCCTATACATATAATTGTTGTAGAGCCGGTAGAGGAATTTATCGAAAAGAATATTCTTTGCTCGATTATTGTGTTTTATGCAAAATTGTTAATACCAGTGACTTGCTGTAAAATGAATAAGTGAGATGAAACAAATATGCCTTCTCAAGGTCTACACTTTCAACTCGTCTCAGTGTTCTAACAACTTGACAGGAAGTCAACTGAATAAGTAACTATTCCAAGTCAAACTGACTTCAATCGAATCAGGGTCGCTGTAAATGTTTGTTTACTCAGTTCCTCTATTCCTTTATTCTACAAAAACAAACAGTTTCATACACCTTTCATACACTTTCATAGAATGGAGAAATAATTTATCTGAAGTGTTTAACATGTCTACACTGATGTGTATTTCGTATTACGGTGAAGTAGTCTGTAATAATAAGAAGAATAACAATAATAATGACAATGACAATTACCCAATATTATTTCAGGCCAGGTTTAGTTCCAGTAACAATAAGAATAAATTTGTAATTTGAATTATTAAATTTACTGCAACTACCATCATCATCATCATTACATCGAACTGGTTACCTCTTGTACACACACACACACACACATACACACACACAAACAAACATACATGGTCAGCCGAAAACAAACAATCAACCAAATAAACAAATAATGAGTGTGGTTCGCGGTCAATGTAACATTTTAAGAAACGTCTATCATACATACTTGCCTATACACATCGCGCCAATTTATTAATATGAATTTAAAACATGAATAGGTGAATTGAATGTGCATCTCATTTTGTAAATATTTCTGACAACTTGTCTATATGGGACGCTCTTATGTACACTGGAATCTCAGTCCACTTGCAAATAATAGTCAATAAAACTAGCCACTTGTGTATGACTTCAAATGAGAAGTAGACTGATAATAAGACTTCGAACAACAGAAATACATTTGGTAGTTGACTTGATGATAGGAAGCGTTTCTTCAGATGAAGATTATTTGTGATTTCTCAGAAATGACTTCACTGGTATACATATAAATGTGTATATATCCCAGTGGGTGGATGGTATACGAGCTCGCCTTGTAGTGAGAAGGTGATGGGTTCGAAACCTGATTGTGCATGCGGTTGATGAGTCACAAACTAGGCTGACGAGACAGCTGTCCAGTACTCTCACGTTGTCCAATGCTTCTCTAATTGATGTCACCTAACCATGAAATCCTGTAACCAGTCAAATCAAATCCCCACAAACCAACACAATACAAATAATTTTACCAATCTAGTGGCGATAAGTTTGTTAACGATAAATAGTCAATGTCAACATGACAGGTGGGGGGGGGTGATAGTTCACCAAGAAAATCGATACAAACAATTGAAGGGTAGAAAGGCTTACAACACGTCGACTGCATAATGCATAATTTGTGAAAAAACAAAGAGTAGGGAACAAGCGAGTGTTCAGGCTGATCACGTACTAGGCAATTAAAGATAATGTATTCAGGAGAATAAAGTAGTCTGGAGGATAATAATTTGTAGAAAGCTTATTGTGAATTCTAAATAGTTAGGTGTTTACATTCATGTAACGATGACCAAATCTGTACAGATGTCTTCTGGATACATCAGTGTGGCTTATTGAGTTGGATGCTGATGGCTTCGGTCGAACATAGAAGACAAAGTTGTAAGGCTAAACTGAGATTAGTTGCAATGCGATAAATAAGTGTAAATTCTGTATTTTCATCATCAACTTTATGCTCAATGTTTACAAAGTGAGCCACGAATAGATCTTGAATGTCGATTGCTCAACCATTTAGGATGATGTTCAAAGAAGGTAGTAGCTGGCTCGAGTATTCACAAATATATTAATCTGATGACAACCAGTCAATCGTTCAGTCATTTAGCCTAGTAAAATCAACCGGTAATAACTGATGGCATACACAGATAATAAAAGCTGATATCCACTATACATGAAGTGACTTATATGATGATAGTGGTTTAGGATCGAGTGTTCGGTACACTCACCTGTGATTTCAAGTCTGGACAAAAATAATTTGGTCTTTGCTGGAATGAAAGAATCTCCAGTTAGTTAAATCAAATTAAAATCGAGTGAATAAAATCAAAATAAGAATAGTAATACGACCTTAGGTGAGTGACCAACTCAATATTTAATGGATTATATTTGAACAGGCTTAACTGATTTGATAACTAACGATATTTGGTGAGTGAAGCTGAATGACTGGCTGTGAAAACTGCCTTATCCCTCCCTTATCCATATTCATATTGTCAAACATCCCTGCTTGGGGATTTTCGGGACTTCCTTAATTACTGTAACCTCTGTCATAACCAAATTACACGAATTTGAGAACCTAATGCAAAAGTGAAGGGTTTTGAAGAACTGTTGTCTTCCGATTAATAACTTCTTCAAAATACGATCCTCCTGCATTCTACGATGCGAAGTTGACAGTACTACTTGATTACATGAAGTACACTGCTACACGGCTGGAACGAAGCTCTTCGAACCCATCTGTTCAGATTCACCTCAAACTAGAGCTTATAATGAGAAACGTTTCCGGATAAGTTTACATACATAAGTTTGCGGATGAGGTTAGATAGAATTGGAAAGTTTTCCAGCGTTCTTCTAGCCTATCACCTTTCTAACGACACTACTATTGAGTGGGTTCTCTCTTCAATGGTCACATGTCAACTGAAGCGATAAAGATTGAGGAATTTATTAGGAAATATATTTCAGAGTAAGTCATATATGCATATATGCAGTAGAACTTTAATTCAGGATTCAAAAATAGGTTATAAAATAATGAGCATCTGACGAGAACGCACATTTTTTAAACTTCTGCAATACTTAACTAGCATACCTGAGAATAAACACCACTAAAATTCTTGATGCATAGCGTAAATAAATACATTGTATTTCATTATCGGATAAAATGCATAATTTCGAAATACACAGTAGAACTCCGAGAAGATTTAAACATTAATCAGTACACTAATATACTAAGTGAAAGGCAGAATAAATTGAATTTTTGAGCTTATTGTACTTTTTGCTTTGTTAATTAACATTACGCAACCAGGTTTGACTAATTCTTGTGACCGAACCGGGGACGGTAATTAATAGAACTTAATATTTGGCCGAAATCGTATACACACAGAAAACAGATCGATGCTGTTTTGTAACCCCTCACAGCATCCGAACGATAATGTCAAATCCCATTGTGTTTACCGATTCGCGTGTATGTGTGGACGCACATATATATAGGGGGAACGATCAGCCTCTGCTGGTTAGGGCTACAGAACATATTCCAAATTGGCTGCGACAAAAAATAAAATCACCGGATACAACTTATACCGGAAATAGATGTCCAATGTCGACTATAGCGAATCACATCATACAGACGCGTAACACGGTTGATTTCAATAATGCCTTCAAACCCATATATGAGAGAAGCTTGGGTCACACACACACGCACCTCACACTTGAGTTTGTTGAAGCCTTGGCAATAAAAAGGCCTAAACCTGTCTTATGTGTCCAAAAGTTATTTGGTATTACCTTGAACCTGCCTTGTGATCTAATTTACAACCAAGGTTCAATTTACTCAATGAGATTTTCATCACCTCCATCCCTTCCTTGCTTCCTTCCTTCCTTTACTTCTCTCTTCTTGCCCACATCCCTAAGCTGTCTTGACACTCGTCATTTGTGACCTTCATATGTGCACAATTCGACCTGTATTCTAATAATCCATGTTATCGTGCCTTCCACACAAATGTGTATGACAAGCAAGTATGTGATCAGAATGTCCGAAATGTGTTCCGCAAATATGCGCACATTACACGTTTCAGATAATTGTTTTGTTGAAATTCATTAAGGGAAGCATCTGCTTTATATGCTCTTGTTTCCAAGAGCTTGTCGCGTTTAATTCTTAATGGTAACCATAGGAGTAACCATAAACACTTATTGTTTACAGACTGCATAATTCATTAATTCACCTGATACGTACATTCATATGTTTTGTTACGAACTAATGTGAACAACAGACGCTATGAGCGATTCCATAATTCCCTACTACACTGTATAACTGTATAGTTTCTGAGTGAAGTTGTAACGGTAGGGGATGAGGCACTTGGTCAAGGGATATTTATTTGCAATTTAAATATCGCTATGTGGTGAAATTATGTACGCCTTCTCTGCAAACCACTATTAGCACAGATCTTCCGTGTTCTGATACTTCTCGCCTTTATATTGCGTGCTTATGTATGTCTTTCTTTGTGTTCGTTTAGTAACTCCAATGTATCTCCACAACGCTGTATCATTTGCTTTCTCTGACATCTAATCTACCTCGCTGCTGTTTGATTATTTTCTGCTGATGAACACCTCTTCATATCTATATACCACTGATAAATCTTATCAGTAGCACACACCACAATTGTAACACACAACGTTGATATGG